ATTAGTTCACGTGCGCTGAATAAAGCACAGGCAGCCCAATGACTGTGAGTTTCAGTGAGGTCATTTAATGATATAATATAGTCAAGAAAATGCCCCAGTATTAGTTCACGTGCGCTGAATAAAGCACAGGCAGCCCAATGACTCTGTGAGTTTCAGTGAGGTCGGCGTGGAGCAAGTCTAAGTGATACACCATAGATATAGGTAACGCTTCACCACTGGTCTGTTATCTTTCAGGTGAAACTGTTAGAGCTTCGTCGTGATGTTGGTCTGCGGTTCTTAGAGCGAGCCATGCACGAAGCTCACCTTACGATCAACAATCTCCTGGAAGCTTTAAAAACAAGGTTAGTAACTCTTTCTCTGTCACAGTTGGATGGATGCTTGTAAGCTTGACTACAAAGAAATCCAATATTGGGATCTCCAATACCACTGTCAGCTACATCAAAAAGTTTTACACCAGAATCAACCAAACCGATCTACAATCCTCTTTACCTTGGGCGTAATGTTTTCCTTTTTCATACCATGTGTCATTCCCTAGAGTATCCTTTCTTTGTTTAACGTTTGCACATTAGAAGACACATGGATATAGATAACTCAAACAAAAATCTTATTCTCAAGACGATGCGTCATTCCATAGAGCATCATTTCTGTTTAACGCTCTTTAACGTCTGCACACGAGAATATACTTGAGCATGGAACAAAGAATCTTATTCTCAGGAGAATGATAGGCCACTTCAAAATCTTACATCGTTCTTCGTATGGCATTTCCCCTCTCGCTTGTCGAAGTGCTAGTCTCGAGGCCCTTCTTTGTACTTTTTCAAGTGCGGTGATGTCCTTCACTAGATATTTGCCACATCCCCCCCCCCCTACCCCCCCGCGTCTTTAAAAAAATATGTGAATGGAAATATCTTCAAGCAAATTCCGAGCTCCAGGCGGGATTCAAACCCGTGACCATCTGTTTGCTAATCAGACGCTCTAGATGTTATTCACCATTTTCCATACATTGGTTCACTGGTCAAACACAAAGTGCTCAAGCGAAGCGCCAAGGTTGTTTCAAAGGTTTATTCAAATTTGAACCTTGCACCCTCGACTGAATGCTTTGTGTTTGACCAGTGAACCGATCTATGAAAAATGGTGAATATCCGATATTTTGCTTCAAGAAACATAACAAACAGCATCTTAATTTTTTTTTTTTCATTGTGATTGTTTTTTATTTTTATGAACCCTAGTGCCAATTCTAAACTAGAAGAACTTACTGCCATATGGAAATCATATGCTAATGACTGCCGTCAGAAAATCATACAGTGTAATGTAAGTGAATATATAAGTTATGACGGGAAATCCTCTGGGAAATCTCATAGTTCTCAAGTGAAAGCATGGCTGATTCGCACAACGAGTATTAGTGTGGTAGGCTTTGTGGAGGGGTCCCTACTAGCAGAGTCTCTCCTCTTTCTCTCCCTAGCAGCAGTAAGGGGGACTCGCGATCACCATTCGGAATCGCCCGGGAATTACCCGTGTTTATGCACTAGCGTCCCCCGCGGGAATTACCCGTGTTCTGTTATATGTTGCGCGAATGTTAAAATATCTTATAAATATACGATGCACGAATGTAAGAAGTTCGTTAACGACTTTTGCATAA